AACAACAACAAACAACAACAACAACGATATATGTCAAGGGAGCTCTAGTGGACTAGCAGCAAGAAGCTGTGCTGCAACCCCGGAGGCAGGTGGTTCAAGTCCACCAGATGCTCCACAGGAGAAGGATGGGCTATCTCCTCCCATGAAATTAACTGCCTCTGAAAACCTGCTGTAGGGTCAGCTATGGGTCTGTTTCATCTCGAAGGAATAACAACAGATACATATTTAGTATTTATGTAATTAAGGCGAATTAGCTCTCTCAGGACAATGTTTTTTGCAGAGCACACATTCTCTCTCTCTTCAGTGATTTGCCTGAAGTGAAATAGCCAGCAAGGAATCAAACTCAGACTTGGCAGAAGTAGATATGCAGATGAAGTCTTGGTGCAACAGTCCATGTGTTCTGACACTCCGTACAGTAGACTGGAAGAAAGATCACTGGAGATGCAACACAAAGGAGGGCCTGGCACAGGTGCTCTGACTTGGCTTTGACAACAGAACATAACTAGACATAAGCTCCTTCCTCCCTGGTGGCTGACAGAGTTGTTCTAGACTCCAGCTGGCAGAAGAAAGCAAGGATGAACTCTGCCCTGGGGTTAAGGCCATCTTCTGTAACTATCTGGGGTGAGACACAGAACGATCATATACGTGCATACCTGGCACAGGCACTCCATAGACATTCACTTCTTGGACAAATTCAACCAGTCCCACTATGTCAGCAACTTCAGTGGTAGCCACATTTTCCCCTTTCCACCTGGCAGAGAACACATAGGTTAGCAGAGCTCACTCTTATTTTCTCATCTGGACGCACTGGCAGAGAGAAGGTATTTCCTTTGCCTGGGAGGCTGGCCTCCTCTTCCCCCCTGGGTCCCCAAAACTCAGTCATAGGGAACAACATCATAGTGTGAAAAATAGAAGGTAAGGGTATTCCCATTGCTGTTGGGTCATTTCTCACTCAAGGTTATCCCGTGAATTTCAGAGGAGATCTGCACTCCATAGAGTTGACATGGCTGGGACCTTTCAGAAGCAGGTCTTTCTTCTGAGGCACCTATGGGTGGGTTTGAACTTCCTGCCTTTTGGTAAGTAGTCAGATGCTTAAACATCTGAGCTACCCAGGGGATTCCCAGACAAAGGCATAGGCCTTGACAATGAAATGTAGTATGTCAGTCTCACCACCTGAAAGATTATAATTAGAATGATGTTGTTTTACTGTTAAAACATAGCCCTGGCCTAGTAATTAAAGAAATTAGATATTAATGTCAGTGACTATATCTTGAGTTTAAGCTTCTCCTTTCTTCATTTATTTACAATGATTTTAACTTATAATTTAGTTCTTTCTAATAAATTTATTTC